CAGGTAAAAACGTGCTTGTAACAGGACGATGGTTTCAGTTTGCACTGTGGGAGGAGAGGGAATATCATGAGTTGGACCCAATTCCTCAAATTGGAAAATTCTCATTGAAAATAAAATCTATCCATTAGCAAGCAACATGGGAAATCATTCGGCTGGAAAATGGGATCCAATCCCCAAATGTAACAAAATGAGGAATCCCTCAGCTGGGCTGAATGGGATGCAGATGCCAGGCATCAAAGAGCTCAAAGCCCTGGGACAGAACAATATGGACTCTTGAGGGTTACTTGTTCAAGCACCACACATGAGAGGATCTATTTGCTATAAAAATATAAAAATATATATTAGAAAATATTTATATTGCTATAAGCACTTTTATATAATTAAAAGATATGTCTACTGCGATAAGCAAAACTGTGAGGGTTGTAAGCTCAGACAGAGAACTGAGATTTAGAAAATATTCTGTACTATATTCATACTGTAAAGTACGGGATGTGAAGGACACCACACATTAGGCTCGTTCGAGACGAGCCAGGCCTGCGCAGAATCGATCACCGGTTCTCGTCGTACAATGCATGCCAGTTAGATTTGTGTCCGACTTGATGTCAAGTTGCTCTGACATAATGCACACGTGGGCAACCTCACAAGCTCTAGATGGACGCAGTTTTTAGAGCCAGACTGCAAGACCCAGGGCATGGCAGGAAACGCCTTGACTGCAGCTTTTTGTCATCTTTTTGTCGCTGCTGTCGCCTGGTCTAGTCCACTTTCCAGACGAGGTGCAGTTCATCTAACCAAGCCTATTCCCTGACAGCACCCCAAGGGGGAAAGGAAGTTTACTACATTTGCTACATTTTCTCATCATAACCTTAAAGCAACACAAAGGGAACTGGCTATGTGACAAGTAGGAAAGAAATCTATCAATACACTGTCATATTTAATTAAGAATTTAATTTCTAAAATTATGTTAAGATAGCACCAAATGTCTTTGCAACTTTCAGAACTTGACAGCATTGATGTGGTTTGGTTAGAGCGTCAAAAGCATCACATTTTAACATCCATAGCTATGTTTGAGTGCTAAATAAGTGACTAAAAATATCACGTGTAAGCTGACACCAAGTCTGACAGTGCAGTACTGCCACATAATTACGCAATATTTTTCTCAGAACAGCCTCGTTCAATTTTTTCCTCCATTATCAGGAACCTCAAATGAAATTCATTTCCCATTTATGAAAATATCGAACCACTTCTGCAATGAATGGAGAGTTAATGCCTCATGATCATGCCAGACATTTAAGGCACGCATTTTTAAAAGCCTACTGATTATTATTGAAACTACTGGATGATAATGGGTCTTCTCTGAAATCTGGACTCTTCTCATATTTTTTCCTCCGTTTGTCTTACCATTAGGGGAGGGCAGGACAAAGAGAAGTATTAACACTACAACACTATCAGATAGTGGGAGGGAAGAAGATCTTTGGATACACCTGTAAAATCAGTCATTATCAAGTGCTGACTGTTTGAATCTGTCATCAAGAACAGGAAAGATTTATTATATCAAACTCTGACAGAAAATGACATGGTGATGTAGATATATGCTCATTATGGCTGGATAGGGAGGGCTTCTCACTCTCTCCTTCACAGTATGGGGGCAGGACATTATTGAACGTCGAGTACAGAGAAGACAGAATTACATTGTATAGTAAATACACAGGCTGTGATCAGTCAATTAACACCTCAGATAGGAATGTGGAATTTGTAGGACAGCTCTACTTGCTAAATGTGATTAGACATTAGGAGCAGTAAAGATGTTTCCAACACATTTTATTTATGGAGAGCAAAAGCTGTGGAGCCATTTTAAAGACCAGTGAAATAGTAAGAACCAATTCTAGACATACTGTATTCATACAAAGTAACATAATAATAAAGATGATATATATCTGTATAAAATCACTTTGTGGTAATAAAAGATAAAGAGTATGAAAATTCAACTCTAGATACTCTATCTCTATGACAGAAACCTAGTAGAAGTGGGAAAGCTTTGGATCAATGGACTTCCTGTTAACGAGGGCTGATGGAAGCTCTAGGTCATGTGATCAATGTCGGCATTAATCTCATGGCTAGAGAGTAAAGAAATGTTGCCTGTCAATACATCAGCCTGGATGGACAGACTGTGGTATTAATCAGAGGAACACACGGGCAAATGCACAAGAACACTCAATGTGATGCAGAACGCTGTAGATTTAACTTTTGATAACAGAGATTTTGTGGGTTTTTTGAGACGACAAATGTACCTGATAAGTAGACTAGCAACAAAACAAAGCACAAAGGCCTGTCATAATGTCATTGCAACAGACTTAGACATGCCACCGACTGTCAGTGACACAGAAAACCAGTGACATAAATCAAAAGAACCTGGCACACGGTCTCTCTCTGTATAATGGTACAAATTATTATTATTATTACAAATTATTATTATCATATGAATGATGATTTATTACACAATCATCATTCATATCATGTTATAAAAGTTGTTGTGGATTTAGTAGTTGTTTATTTACTACATCTAGCAGATACATTAACTTTAATTTGGGGGTTTTATTTGTGTCCGATATTCAGTCTCCTTCCAGCTCTGTTTTGGTCACCAAAAACTGGTGATAATAATATCTGGCTCTTTAGTTGCTAAATGCTCCACTGTCATCATCAGCTAGTCACTAACTTTGTCTCTCTGCTGTTTGCTGCTGGGCAGGTAGCTACAGTGGACTTGTACAGCTTTTTCACTGAAAACAGCTGCCATGTGCGGCTAGAAACGAGGGGGATAACAGTTATGAGGCTGAACCAAAACAGTAAAGTTACAGGTAAGAGCAAACAGTGAGCGGCTACAGTTATAATTCTTTGTGGGTTTATCACTATGAGTGGGCCCTTTTACATTACACAATTTTAATATGAAAATACTGATTAGAGCAGTTTTAAGTTAGTTTAGCCTCTATTAGTACATTTTAAGCTCTGTCACAGTAAGTGTGTGCAAAAGATTCATTTTCAAATTATTAACATTTTAGACTGTTGTGGAATTACTCTTCATATATTTAGATTTTTGGATTTTGAGCTGGGACAAAACTCTGTAACACTGAGTTGTGTGATAATATATAGCAACATACACCACAAAAGTTTTCCATGAAGATCATTATTGTTTACTAGGCTGATAGTCATGGTTTTTGCTTGTAGGAGCAGTTAGGATTGTGTGTTTCTCACACACAGGAAGCAGCAGCAATGGATGGAATGATGCATCATTCACTTGCTACAAAATTACACCTCACTGTACACAGAAGTACAGCTGTGTTTGTGTTTATGCGTCCAGGTGACAAACTGAACCACCCACCATGCTGTATGTCACAAATCATACTGCTGTGGCACGGGGCACAGCTCTCTCTGTCTGTCTTTGATTTCCATTTTCTTCAGTGTGGCACACCTCCTCTCTCTACCTGAATCTGATCATTCAGTATCTCCATCTCTTCTCTCTCATCCTGTGTCACTTTCAGTTCGGTTTTCCCCACTTCAGTTTTCTATTCTCTCTCACCTTGCTCTGTTATCTTACTCATGTTTGGCCACCCCCACTTCTCTCTCTCTCTCTCTCTCTCTCTATGTACATGTCATTCTCTCACCCCTCATTGTTTCTTCAAACCCAATTACAATCTCCTTTTCACTGCATCTCTTCCTCCTCTCCTTCCATCCTTTCTTCCTCCCCTTCTTTCCCTCTGTGTTAAAAGAACAACAAATCTTTGTTGTTTATTTGGGGGACAATCAGAGACAGATTGTTTGCTTTGGGGGAAGTCTGTCTCTGTACGTACATGTGCATCTTGCATGTGTGTGTCTCAATCTGTGTCCTCTACAGCCAGGGAATAAATCACTCAGATATTCCTGTTAAATCAACTCAAGGTGGTGTAAGCAGTGGGACAGAGAGAGAAAGAGAGTAGCAGAAATGATGCTGATATATTATCAGTCGCGCTGACACTGCTTTGTACACAGACAGATGTTGTAACACCAAAAAGCAGACATGTCCCCTCCGTGACTGTAACTGATAAAACATGTGGTTCATTCATAATAAAAAAAACATTGGGCACTAAAAGTCTATATAAACATAATAAATTAGGTTGCCTGTGAGTTTTTTTAGAACAAAAAAAGAAAAATATCCTGTGCTGATGTGATTTAATGTCACACATTTGTCTAACAGTCCACTAAAATCTTATGAAGAAAGATAAAGTTCATGATTCTATAGGCAGACAATAACCCCATTTCCTAGAGCAAGAAACGAGGTGAATAAATTCTTAATATATTGGACCTCAATAGTTTTTGAGTATCAACCGAAATGTATACGAGTATAGACAATGTCAAGTATCAAAGATTGTCATTCAATGCCAGGTCAGATTTGATATATTTTGTAATAAATCTGAAAGTATTAAATCAGGTTTAGTCTGTATATTATTTAGCCTAAGATCTAATTTAGCTGCTTTTGTTCAGATGACATTAAACACTGATGCATTGAGAAATTTCGTGTATTTAATCAGATAAAAAAGATGCCATTGTTTCCTCAAAGTAAAGTAACAAAAAACAAAAATTGAATCAGGTATCAGTACCAAAACCCAGGTTCTGTATTGGTACTGGCATTAAAAGCTTTCAGAAAAACACCTAGTCCCATACATGCAAGCTGTCTACCTTGTCATAATATGCATATAGCAACACCATGCTGTGCACAGGTGATACATGACAAGACAGGTGTTCTTACCAATAAGACACAAAAGATGTCTTACATTTTTAAAAATAAAAATTAGAGTTCCAGTTAAAATAATCTAACCTTTCGTGCGCAGCAACCTTGGTGTGTGTAGGAAGGTTGAGCGTACGATTTATCTATATAAGCACCATGACATATAGAGAAACTCCTTGCTTTAACTATAGAAAAGCACAAGCTTAGCCAGTACAAAGCAATTGTCTTGGTGATGGACACCTACCTGTCATGCCTGGAGGGGTTTTCAAGAATTTCCCATTGAAATTTTGAATCACCACATCACACTTCTCCGTTGACTCCATCCTGACAGAGAGAGACAGAAAGAAAGAGGTGCTACTTGAGGACAATCAGCTCCTCATGTTGCTATTCAATATACACAGGAGGCACTGTGGTTCTCAGAAACATTATTGTACTGTATGTGGATATGTGTGCATGCAAATATGTCCTACAATACAGTATTTATATTAAATGCATGTCTTGTTTATGCATCTGTGCTTGTTTGTCTATGTATGCCTGAGCAAAATCCTTAGCTATGTGTGCATGTGTGTGCATGTGTGTGTGTTTTCAATGGGGTTTCCTCTCCTTTGTCCTGGTTTAAAAGCTCCATTCAGTCTGATCTGTTGTGTGTCATGTCCTCTTTGTCTGCCCCTATTCAGCTCTGCTCACCCAATCACAGCTCAATGACTAATTGCCTGCTTGGCAAGCAAAAGCCAGTGTGTATGTGTGTGTGAGACAGAGAGAAAAATGGTGACGGGAGAGAGAGACTGTGTGTGTGTGGTTGTGTGTGTGGTATGTGAGCATGCATGTCTCTGTGTGTGTCTTGGGTTTTCTTCACATAGCCAGTGACCCTGAATGGAGCCCTGACTGCATTCTAATCACTGGCACACTCCACGGTGTAACTGAGAAGACCACACACACACACACACA